TCTTAAATATGCCGTAATATTTTTTAGCATAATATTGCATTATTGCATATTACATGCAGTAACAAAAATTTTTTTTTTAAATTAACCCACGGAAACATAGGCCAATGGGTGTGGGGAGGGTACTGTAATAGGATTTTTTAGGTTGGGAAGGTTTTTTGGTTCACGTGTGTGTGGTTTTGGCAGAATTTCTAATGGTTACCCGTAGGTTTCTGCCATGCCCTGGGGGCAGCCTCTCTCTTCAGACAGCGTGAACTGATCAGAAAGCGATGCTATTCATAACGGGAATTCGAATCGACGACAGTGCGCGTCGCATCCGACGCCTAAATCTACCCGGCAAAACTGACATTACACGTAACATTTTATGAACATTTGGAAATGCATCTGCATTACAAATATCGAGGGTATCAAGAGCGTTTCAAATATTTTTACTAACTAGCCGTCAAATTTCTCCCTCACTTATCCAAATAAAATGAGAAACACGATTATTTCGGTCATGGAGGGAGGTTTGACCCCCCCTCCCTTGAGCACGAGCCTGACTTTTATTAGTATTCAGTAGTACATGTGAAGAGTTTATTTGTAATTTAATCATATGTATATTTTTTATTTGTGTTATTAAAAATATACACGAATAAARCGATTGGGCTATTACGGTTCGGGTACCTACGTAGGATATATCATTAATTTAAATAAAAACTGTATTGAGTTAATATTATATGCAATATGTAATATAAAACAATATTTGAAAGAGTAATGATACAAATATCAACTTTTCTCCAATAAACATCGACTGCGGTGTTATACATAAGCACTCTAGATTCAATAAATTGGATACTTATTGAAATTGAAGGGATTAGATACATTCAAATGGTAATCTTGATTGAAAGATGCTAATAAGTAGGTTAAAATTCGATTTCCTGTTKAAGGYTTAAAGGGATGGTAAAGGAGAAATCCGATTCCACTTCCGTTATTCTCCTATCTAGGGTGGCGTATAATAATATAAGAGACGGAGGTGTCAATAATCATATCCGAGAGAAATATCTCGTTTGATTTATGCGTACAGAACTTTTCTTATTCGGTATCAAATGTACTAGATCCTTTATGGTATCAGATGGTTTGATGAATTGAACTCTCAAGCATGTGTGGAAATCACTTTGGTTGTAAACTAAGTAAATTACGTAGRTGTATAATTATAGATTAATTTATAGAAAGTAAGAATTTTTACTCATAAGATTTTTTATAATTATTAATTTTTAAAATAGCTTATTGTTGCACATGATTTAAAAATAAATTGAATGTGTTTACTGTATAGTTAACCTCTAATACAGTTTTCATTGAAATCTAATTCACACATTATATATTTATATATCATTAAATATTGGAAAACATAGAAAACATATTGAATTTTTCCATTTATAAAGTAAAGAAATAATATATATATATATTCAAATCTAATACAAATTTAAATTAATTAATAACAAATAATAATAATTTTAAGGGTATCTATTTTATTAAATCATATCATATTTATTGAAAAAGTTTTTCATGTTTACTTTAACATCTTAACATCTCGGTATTAAACATAATGAAATCAGACTAAATGCATTTTACTAGTTTAGTGTGGTATAGCTTTTTCTTTGACTCATGTCATATCTACAAAATGCAGAAGTTTTGTTTTTAACAATTCCTACTTCAAGTTTCATTTAATTATCAAAAAGCTTACGATTTATGTGGCTAGAAAGACTAAAAATGAATTACTTATCTATTTAACTATTCAATTAATTTTTACACTTAATTAATAATTAATATACATTAGCAATCAGACTTTATATTTTGATATAATTGAGGGATTGATTTATTTATGAATTATTATGACATAATATATTTATTATATATACGGATAAATATGTATATATGCAAAAAAAAAAAGAAGAAAATTATACAACAATTTATATGCAGATGCATTAACTTATAATCCATACTCAGTATATGTATACTAAACTATAGCCTAGTAATTTTTTTAATGAATATTTTATTTATTATTTCAGAAGTTCTAACTACAAAACACCCGGATGTAAGTGCTAAAGAATTTGCAAGTGTAATGAGTAAGTGGTTCTCCGGAGCCAAGGACCGAGAAGGAGGCAAAAAWCTCAGATTGAGTAAAAATGTTTTAGTATAAAAATGTTGTATTAAATAAAACATATTTATTACATATTTAATAAAACTATTTATTAAATTATATTTATTATTTTTCAATTACCTAAATTCCTATTTTTCTAATTTTGCAGTGTTCCTTGAAATGAATAAACAAAAAAGATATTCTTTTTATTACTGCTCATTATATATTAATATAATTTAAGTTAAATACATAGGAATATTTTTTCAAATTATATAACAATATAAAGTTATTTTAGTTTCTTTTGACGGTTTCAAAGTAGTGCGAACTATTAGAAAATCCTTAAAAGACTGGATGAGGAGACCAAATTCATTGAGAATGCAAATGAAGAATTTAGAAAAAAACCTAAGCATCTACATTTATTATTTTAAAAATAAAATATTTTCAATACTACTGATTTTTTGAAAAGCCAGGGRATGCACCCCCTTCGCGGCACCCATGGGTAAAGTGTTATCACCCCAGATAAATGACAGTACTGGTTCCATAACTGGCTGCCAGGACCACGACAATATAACTATCAGTACTTGGTCAGTATTGGATGTGCCAGTACTTAGCCAGTGCTTGATTGCCAGTACCGGTAAAGCGTTATCACCCCAGATATATGACAGTACTGGTGCCAGCACTGGCTKCAAGTACCACGGCAGTATTAGGCAGTACTGGCGCAGTRTTWTGCCCGTTGTGAATTTCCGATTGGATGTTAGCGTTAATTTAAGAAATTCCGTAATTCAATAAAATAGTTATTTAATAGAATTATGGGAATTTTCAGGTAATGTATCGAATGAATTCAAAAATACATACTTCAACTAGATATTATATGCATACTAACCAGATATTTTATTAAAAGTCATCGAGTGGTTTAGTTAATGGGTTCCTAAAATTATTATTAAATTTATGTATAAAATAAATAAATATTCATTTTGAAAAATTCTGTTTTGATTTGTACATTATCAATGTATTTAAAATATTGCATATTATCTACTTAAGCCCCGGTCATCAACCTAACGATGACTTAATTGTTAAATTACATACATTAGCGAAAACCCAACTGGTGTTCTATATATTAACTAGTAAAAGCATGTTAATTTAAATATTAACAAGCATATTTCAAGAACTTATAGAATAACTAGTTATTTAATAAAACAATGTATTACATACATTATCTCTAACATATATACATATATATAGCATTTATAAAAAATAAAATACTTTATACTAACACACTAGAAATTAAATCTCTGTCTATGTTTTCTAATTATCATCTT